CCATCTATATTTAATTATATGATCAAAATTAAGAAATTAAGAATAATTCTAAATTATAACATCATCAAAATTCTATTAGAACAAAGAATTCTCTATGGATAAAGAAAGTATTACACCAAAAAAAATCAGAATTGAATTAAGAATTCTCTATAAAAGAACAAACAAAATATTGACAAATAAACTTTTTTCAATCTGAATCTCACAAAATTAACTGATACTGAAGTTAAAAGATTATTTCAAGAGATAGTTACTGGAATATTAATATTTAAATAATATTTTAATAAAGATCTCAAAGTTATTTTTAATAACTTCAAAGCATTTTATAGAGAAACAATTCACAAAAATATATTAACTATAGCAAGAGAAATATTTGCAGAATTATTAGAAGAAGGAATTGAATTATCTGAATTAGAAGTTCAAACTTTTTTACATTATATTCAACAAGAAATTCACCAATTTTATCAACAAAGAAAAGAATATTTGAGAAAAATAAAACAACAAAAGAGAATAACAATAAAAATCTCTAGTTTAAAAAAATTATCTACTGAAAAAGAACATAGAGAATTTATTAAAAACTTTAATTTAAAAGAATTTAACAAAGTGAATAACATTTCAAAATACTTTAGTCAAATAATCAAATCAGTCAGTCAACAATTAGCATTATTTTCAACACTAAAAAAAGAAAAAGTGTTAATAATTATTCAAATTCAAGAAACTCAACAAGAATTGGAAGATAAAAAAATTCAACAAGAAAAATTTCTAAAAGAAAAAAATCAAGAAGAAGATTAACCAAAAGAAAATAATAAAATAAAAAACCAAGAAGAAATTATTAATCAATTTGAAAACTTAATTACCAATTGAATGTTTTAATACTTGCTATAAAACAAGATAATAGAAAAATTAAATATACAAAGATAGCTGATTTTTATAGAGATATCCAAGATCTAATCAGATAGCTACAAAACTTTAAAAATATATATCAAGCTAATGCAATTAGTGACAATAGAAAAATACAAATAGTTGAAGCTTACTTGAAAGGAGTTGCTATTACTTGGCTTGTTAACAAAAGAATAAATGCAAATTGATCCACACAATGGAATTCAACTGATTAAACTACTAAAAGTCTACTTGTTTTATTTATATACTAATTCAAATTGCAATTTAAAACTCAAGATAGAGTTTATGAATGACAAAGATAACTGAAAGAAAAAAAACAATTACCAAATGAAAGTGTAGAACAATATGCTGCTACTATAAGAGAACTCTTATGCTGAGTAGATTCAGATAACAATTATCCAGCTCATCTACAAGTATCACAATTCATAGATGGACTTAGACCAGAAATTCACTTCTTTGTTAATTCAACAAGATCTATAACTTTAGAAAATGTTATTAATATAGCTCAACTTTATAATACAAATTTCCAATAATACATCCAAATAAATACTATACTTCAATATAGTATACCAACTGCACCAAGTTCTCGTATGTTACATTCTACAAGGCTGAGATTCCTGTAGCATATTGAAAAGAACTTCAGAGGGACTTACCACGAAAGCAGTCAATTACAATTTTAAGATGGCCAGGAGGGAATGATCCAAAGACTGGTCTAGATTTGGCAGAACCGGCTGGAAGACTTACGGTTTTGACAGCACTAATCAAAATTCGTGAATCACTTTTACGGGAAGAGGAAGAGGAAGGAGAAGACGAGGAAGAAGAAGAAGACGACGAGGAAGACGAGGGGAAGGGGAAGACGATCAGCTGTTGTAATAATGTGATGGGTTATTTAGTCGTGCTGGGGAGGAGTCGATAATGTGTTTTATCAGTCCAATTTATTATAATAAATAATTGCTATTTTTCATGTTGCGTTAAAAAGGATCCTTTTCATGCAAATTGTATATATTTATTATTTTCTCCTCAATTTTCATTACGGAAGAAATCTAAGTACAGGAGATTGATCTTGATTAACAATTCTCGTAATTTTATACTAATTATTGCCCTTTTATAGAAAAAGCAAAGAATATCAATTGACTGGATTTCCACGATGTGATCATACTTACATAATTCCAATGGATGAAGAATTTGATTCTTAGACCGCGAGCGTTGCTACAAAATAAGTTGAGATTCCCATGGGTCAGTTGTTCCAATGATTCCTCGACAAAACTTGAACGATGCACAAGATTTGAACTCCCGGATTCGACTTACCAAACCGAGATGCCTGAAAAGGCTAGCGATAAGAGGCGAGGAAATATCGGTAAGTAATTATTTAACTTGGTAAGCATGTTTGAATAGATTAACCACAATTATTTTTTTATTAGATTTGACACATGCACGACGAGGTTTAAGGGCTGAAGATCCGCTTCCTGACGATCCATAGTCGTTAATTATCATGTATATAGTTCTTGTTATTTATTGCGGGTCATATCCAGAAATTTTGTAATTACGTTTTTTAGCATAAAATAAACATTTGTTTCTCAAATACCTATCATATGACATTGAGCTCCAAGAGAGCAACCTCATGTTATGCATTTATATAATGATCACTGTTTCATTCATATAACAATCAGGTGTGGTCAATATGTGATTAACGGTCGAATTTTTAACTAATTTACATTTTTCAGAATTCTATAGAATTCGACAGAATTTTTATCTCAGTATATACAAATGAGATTCAATCAAGCGTATACAGATCTGATAAAACAATTACCACCTTCATTAGTAGAAGAATCATCACCACTTGAAAATTTATCATCTGTATATAACATGGCTGATCAGGAAACTCAGACTCAAAATACCAGCTCGGATTTGCCTTCCTGTAATCACGAAAAAGAGATAAATGATCAAGTTACAAAAAAGCTCGAAATTTCGCACCAGCAATTGCTCAAGAAGCTCCAAAAATCAATTTTGAAAACTTAACGTTATATTATAAACTCCACCAATTTCTGAAATACACCGTAACGGTTGATATAACGGATGGGTTCGGTTAATTTTCAAAAATTCATTAGATTTATAGATTAGATTGCTCTGGACCTCAATCATTAGATCAAACAAATATTAACAACGTGATCTTGAGAACAAATATATTATGGCATACTGTTAAATATCTGATCCTTCACAAACTTATGAACAGGCAAAGGAAGATTCTAATGTCCTTTTTGAAATTGAACCGCAATTTACAAAAGTTAGTTAGATAGATTACATTTGGGATAATGGCAGATGATGTTCTCTTGATTAGGCGATGAGTAATTAATCTATTTCTTTAATTAACAAGATATTTACAATTACATGTAATTGGAACCAACGAAGTATGACGAAAATTAGATTATACAATTTTTTTGTAGATGTAAAAACCAATAAAAAAGACGAATTGAAAGCAAAAAATGCCAATTTATATCTTATTTTAGCTGTTGGAAGCAGTGTGTTTTATAGAAGAGCTTTGTTTTGTTCTTAATTTGTCACTTGTTATTTTAATTCAAAGATTATCTTTATTTAAAATTGTATTTCAATATGATTAAGAAAGGCCTATTCTATCATATTTGACGGATTAAGATAAAATACAATCTATCGATGAGTTTAGATGTGTCATTCAATCTTTATTGCTTTGTTCTGCTTAAAAAGCAATAATTAATAGCTGTGACATATATTACGTAATATAAGTTTACTATAGCGATAGAGCCCTCCCAGGTAAGATATTTGAAGCATGTGATTTTATATATTACATAAGACACAAGACACTGTCCCCCAAAGGATATTACGTAATATCTGTCACAGCCCTATTTGATGATTTCTTTGTGTGCGCTAAAATAAAGCTTGAAACTCAAGTCATTGCCACATGTTCTCTTAGATGGTGGTGCATCGGCCGAAAATTGTCCATCTTTTTTTGTTATCATGCATGGGTTATTGTTTGAATTTCGGCCGAACCTTTGTAATACAATCAAATAATCATTCATATGCACACGTTCTAAAAATATATTTTGTAAGAACAAAATTTAGAATTTTTATTTTTCAATAAATACGAGGCTAGTGCTGTGGCAAGTTTGGGTGGCGAGTTGGATTTTAATTATTATGATTGAGAACATTGAGGTAAGTGCTAAACTAAAAGGTCAAAGTACTCTATAACGAATTGGTATATAACGACTATTTTGGTATAGCGAAGAAATTTCGCGGTACCAATCTATATTACAGATATACATGTATATAAAGAAGACATTAGGTCGGCTCATGGACTTCGTTATAGAGTACCTTAGCTGTACCTTGAAAATTATTACCTTGAGACTTATCACACGCTTAATTATAGAAATTATAGAAAAGTAATACATGGTCGTATTTAATACATATGTGTAATACTTTTACGAAATTACGCGTCGCATTATTTTTAGTGATACCAATTTCTTTATACACTTTAATCTTTACGATCAACCTTCATATTGAGCAGCAATGCTTGTTTCGGCCGATGAGCGATAATCATAATGTCCTTTTAACAAACATACAGAGATTTCATCACGGCCGAAGTTTATGTGAGAAATTTCGTAGTATTCATTATGATAAAAATACAGTATCGCCACTTTTCTCGCCGCGTCAGCGCGTCCGACGGATTTCGGCTAAATTGGGTTTATATTGTTTATGAGCCGAGGAAAATATATGCATATTATTATTATTATTATCATTATGTCGATATAATAATATTTCATTAATTTCAATAAATTAATCTCCGCCCGTTTAGAAGATCGATCGGTATTTTCGGTCGGGAATCCGGGTACCACCAGAAACACGGATTTGCATGTTAACTTGTATGTGACAGTGGCTACGTATATATAAACATGGGAAAATTAAGAAATATAAATAAAGAGGCGGGTGGATCAAGGGGAATTATTGAAGCAACAAGTTTTTTCTGTTATTATTATTATTGTAAGAACAAATAAACTACATTTTTTATTTGCGTACTAATTAATACACACCGTATACCGTATATGAGAGTAAAGAAAAAATAAAGAAAAAAAATGGCAAACAGCACTTCACATTTTCCCGCGATCTCTTCAATTGAATATAATAATTTTGGTCAACAACAGCAGCCAGAAAATTCTCATCCTTCGCTTTCATTATATCAACACCCAGATTTACATAATCTCTTTACACAATCGTCTTCGAATGTTCTGACTCAGCAAATTTCAACATTCCCAACCGGAATGTCAATACACGATATTGGCGGTTCAACTGCTGCGATGCTTCCCTATATACTACATCAACAACAATTGCTCTTAACCCAACAAGCAATTCAAATTAAACAGCATCAACAGAACAACAATAATCAACAACAAAACCAGAATCAACAATCGATTTTGACTCCCGAGGAAACCAAAGACATTTTAATCGCTATTCATCATATGTGTCAAGATATTAAAGAATCATTGTCGTCATTACATTCTCGCGTTAATGAAATGTGGAGTGAAATGTGTACGTTGAAACAACGACAAGATGTTGTTGAGGAAAAAACGAACTGTACTGATAGTAACGGTAATGAAGAAGAATTAGAGTATGAAGAAGCTGAAGTACCTGATGAATTAAATTACTAAAATCTCAATATTTTTTCTTTATGTGTTGTGTATTGTTCATTTTTTTTAGCTTTAACTTTTTAGTTTGTAAACCAATATGAAGTAATATACATGTATATATATATATATATATATTCAAACATCTATACTAGGAATTCTAAGTCATTTTTAACATATACTATACATCAATGAGTGCTGGGAAAAGGAGACAAACCAAAAAACTTTTTTAACTGTTACTCTCTAATCAAATTCCGCGTTATTTAAATTTAACGTTAGTCATGAAGTTTATCGCCTTTTTTCAATTTTCTTATTGGTCATTTTGCTCCCTTTTTTCAGCACTCATCGCATATTAATATACAACGTTTATAGTAAAAATTTTATTACCGATATCAAGCTGATATGGCATTCCATTTGTTTTCAATTATGATTCAGCATTGAATGCTTACATTTCGTTGTATTTACATGTATTATCATTTAACACTATTTCAGATGCTAAATTCGATCTGAAGAAAAGCATTTAGAGGAATTCAATTATTCCGCAAAAAACTTCGGCCTACCCAGGACGTCTTCAATTTGATTGGAGCGAAAGTACATAAATATATGTGCGTTATATGCATGCATATTTTAACGAAATACATGTACATGACAAGTTTTTAGATTGCATGTGATACGTAATATCAGAAAACTGAATAATTTAACTTTCGAAAATTAAAATGAGGAATATAACCTGAATAAAATATACAAATCCCTTCTGTAATTATTCACTTTCGTTATGTCTCAAAAATAAATAAATATCAACCAAAACACCGAAAATATACCAACAAAACTGAATCCACCAATCTGTAATGTTTTATAACATAGAGATCGTGCCCCTAAATTTTACTAGATATTTCATTATTCCCGCCGTCCCGGGGAATAAATAGTACTTATAATCTATCAATTATGAAAAATTGAGCGTTTTTGATTAGATAGAATTAAATTCAAATAGTAAGTAAAAACAATTGGTAATTTTAATTTTAATTTGGTTTTTGAAAAGTTATTGCCTTAATTAAAATTATTTTTCATATTTCAACTTTTAGAATTTATATTATATTGTATTGATAAAAATTGCTCAAATTGTTGTTTTATTAAAAAAAAACAAACACATTTTTAAACTTGATATTAGAAAAAATGTACAGTATTTTATTTTCAAGTATAATAAAGAATAAAACAATTTTTTGTTAGTAATACTTGTATTAAATTTCAAAGTTTAAAATAAGATAAAAGACTTTAATTAATATAAGAATCATAATTTATTAGTATAAATGATCAAAATTATTTGTAACAAGATTCTAAAGCTGCAAGTTAAAGATTTATTTGTTCAAGTATATATCAAGGTAAAAAAATCTTTAATAATATGTAATCTAAATAATATAACTTTATTATTATTACTAACCATAGCATTGAAATTTGTAAATAAATCTATAATTTGTCAATAATTTTACTTGTATTTTTTTATTTCTCAGAAACTGTCTAGTCAAAAGGCTAAGTTTTCTATAATTAATAGAACAGAAGTCATGTATTTATTTGATTATTTTTTTTACTTTAATAAGTATGCTCTGCATTGAGATACAGGAACACGAGCAAAACTTTTCGTATCTACGAAAATGCTTCAAAGGAGAATGGATACACCAAAGTTAATACATATAATAGGTAAATCCTAGATTCCTACTCTTCCAACTCTCAACTTTTCTGAATGTACGAAGATCATAAGGAGTTGTTCCCCAAATATCATAACTGTTAGCTGGTATTCTGTTTTCTGGTATTGTATTTTCTGGTATTGTATTTTCTGGTATTGTATTTTCTGGTATTGTATTTTCTGGTATTCTGTTTTCTGTGGAGCCAAAACCACCCCTCAGGAACGAGAAACATATACACGTATACAATTATAAACACGTGACAACAGCTCCGATTAGAGATATACATAGTACATGTAATAGGTTCTTTTTCATGATTTTTTGTTTTTTGATGAATTCGAGTTTTGTGGTAGATCATGCTATTTTTATACATGTAATTAAGAAGCGCCAAAACTAACTTTGAAAACTTTTCATTTATATTACCGACTTCACCAATTTCTGAAATATTTGGCTGTGAAGACTTAAAACTATAGAATTGAACTCATTAAATCAGTATGCTATATACAGCAAAGATAACGATAGAGTTTATCAACAAAGAGATATTATATTTAGTTTCTTGTTTATGATAATTAAAGACAAATGCGAGCTATCTGCTTGGCATGTCGGATAAAATAAAAATTATTCTGTTCCACGTTAACTTTATACGAATTCAGTGTGGCGAGAAAAGGGGACAATGGTAATAATTGCATGCACTTGTAAAACCGTTCGACAATCTGAATACATGCGCGCAGTCTAAAGACATCAAATCATATGTTAATAGAGCCTTGAATTCAGTAAATCTTGCAATTATTCAGCAATATACATGGAAATCTTGTATTAACAGGAAAAATAGCAAATTTTGTTTTGAGATTAGTCACACACACATACAAAATCATTATATCGATTTACAATATTTTATGACCCGGCTACCCGGATTTTTCTTTTTAAATTTCGAAAATTTTTATATGTGCTATGCCACCCGGCGACACGGCAAAAAACTTCATATGTAAAAATTTTTTTCAAATGTAAATTGTTTTGGGTTCTCATAATACACAACTATGTAAAAATGACACAGCTTTTTCTTTTTAAAGTTAAAAAAGCTTATTTATATATCGGTCCGGTAACTTCTGGGCGATATTTCGCGATCCAGAAATTGGATCGGAGTGATCTAACCACTGATCGATTTCTCTTAACTAGACAAATCGAATAGTGATTAGATCGCTCCGATCCGATTACTGAATTGCGAGATATCGCATCCTGAAAAATAATTTATTTTTATACTTTTACAATACAATATTAGACTGCGCCTCAAAATTTAAATTTCACAAACCAGTTTGATGACCCGGCCAGGTTGAAAAACAAAAAATTTTGTTTGTGTGGCCTAATATACTTCTCATCATCTACACACCCCTACAATATATTACCGGAAATTCCAAAAATGAATGTCACTTTGGAACCAGATATCTCGACATCCAGTGGTCCCATTCGAACAAAGATATCACCGTTAGATTCGTATAGTCAAGACAAATCTAATGGTAATATCTTTGTTCGAATGGGATCATCGAATGTCGAGATTCGGGTTCCAAAGTGACAAATTCATTTTTGGAATTTCCGGTAATGTATTGTAGGGGTGTGTATGGTGCATAAATTCGATAACTTCTTAATTAGAAAGTAAATCGTTTAATCTGTTAATATGATAGAATAGGTCTTTCTCAGTCATTATTCGAGCTTGTGAACTACCCGGTTCAGTCCAGGTCAAAAGACATTACTATTTTTTGAACCGGTTGATATAGAATTTTGGAAAAGATAATAATGCATCGGAAAATCTTTGCATTTTATACAATTAGATTTATGCGGATAATAAGCAAAATTCATGCATATACGCTTATGAAAAATAAATTTTTAATATCTATAAAAGGCCAAAATATTTTCACGTACCCGCAAATTTTAAGTGTAAATATTGCATAGAACTTACACTCCTGACGTAAAGTTACTAAACGTAATGTGTCGTAAGTATAATAAAAACGTAAAGGTGACGTAGCCTTAAACTTCAGACGTAGGTTGCGTAAGTTTTATGCGTAATGATTTTATAATAAAAGACATAAAAATGACGTGATTCAATAAAAGTGATGTGATTTTATAATAAAAGACGTAAAAGTGACGTGAGTTTATAATAAAAGACGTAAAGTGACGTAACTTTAAACTTCAGGCAAAAAAAATCTAATTACAAATAATTTTTATAATAAAATAAATAAAAAATACATATAGATTATATTAAAGATTATTTAATGTTAATATTTATTTAATAATGGATTGGATTTAGATTTTTGTACTACATATAGTTCAAAAATCTATTAAATACTCTAATATTATTAAAATTTACTAATAAATGTCAAGCACAAAACCAGTTACCAAAAAATTTCAAGAAATTTCATTTTTTAAAAAAAATCTATAAAATTATAAAAAAATATTTAATTATACAAACTTTTAATGCATAATTATATGTATTTAAAAATATTTAAAAGTATAATTAATATATCGAATTAGTAAATAATTGCTATCAAAAAGTATCACATTTACTACAATGTACTATTAGTAATACAAATAAATACAATCCAATAATTATATATTTAAAATAAAATTTCTTTACAGTTTAAAGTATTTGATATTTTTAAATTGCTTACACTATACATATATTATTATTGGATTATTTAATATGATGTTTTGTATAATTTTCTTTTTTTGAAATATATTTAAAACAAAACAATTTTGTAATTCAAATAAAAATAGTGACATATTGATCATATAAAAAATACCTCATAATAAATAGAAATATTATTATATATAAGTTTATCCTATATCTTTTTTAAAAAAATACATTGTTATCTTAAATTTTTTTAAAAAATTTTGGATGTGTATTATAATTATTTTAATATATAATATTAGATATTCTATTTTCTAAAAAATTAAAATTATATTTTATAAGAACTTGTTAATTTATTTTTATAATATTATTATATTAAGTTTTCAGATTTTATAACAAGTATTGAACAAAGTATTAAAATTATTAATATAAATAATTATATTAGAAAATTAATATTACATTATAAAAAATTATATTAAGTTATAAGTGAATTAATATTAGATATAATTTGTTAATTTTATCTGATAATAATAGATTTAATAAGAATATCAATTAGATTTTGTATTAGTTTCTAATTCTTATATCTAAAAATATTATTTGATATCATGATTATTCAAAAAAATAAGTAGATTTAATAATATAACTTAACTTTTTAATAATTTTAATACTAATTAATTATAATTATTACTTTTTTTAAATAGAAATTCAGAACACTTAAAATC